TCTAGCATGTTTCATTGTACCATTCAGGTTTCAGATCTGGCATTTTCAGCCAATATTAACCATAGAAATAACCAGATTAATGCTTTTGGAGCAAGTTAAAGGTTTTGAGTTGGTTAAAATTCTTTAAGCAGCTCATTCCCAAGTAATTATAAGCCCTGCCTTGACCAAACTTGCATGGATGATGCATCAAGGGATGCACACTACCAGATTTGCTTTGGATCCTAGATCTGACCTACATTTTGCAGATGAGTTACCAGGTTAAAGTCTTTGGAGCAGGTGTCATTCCCTACTAACTATAAACCCTATGGTGACCTAACTTTCATGGACAATGTGTATAGGGATGCACACTACCAAATTTGCTTCATATGCTGGATTTGACCTACATTTTCCACATGAGTGATGAGGTTAATGGTTTCAGAGCAGGTCTCATTCCAAAGTAACTATAGGCCCCTAGGTAACCAAACTTGCATGTTTGATGCACCTAGAGATGCACGCTACCAGACTTGCTACAGATGCTAGATTTGACCTACATTTTGTAAACGAGTGGCTTCATTCCAGTGTAACTATAAGCCATACCTGGACAAAATTTGCATGGATGATGGATGTAGGGATGTGGAATACCAGAATCTTGCTTCGGATGCTGTATCTGACCTACATTTTCCGGATAAGTGACCCATTTTTAAGAGCAGTTTCATTATAAAGTAACTATAAGCCTTCTCCGGACCAAACTTGCATGTATGTTGCATCTTGGGATTCACACTATGAGATTTTCTTTGGATGCTGGATTTGACCTATATTTTCTGTGTAAGTGGCTATGTTGAAATTTCCCAAATAATTGTAAGCCTTATGGTAACTAAACGTGCATGGATGATGATGCATCTAGTGATTAACACTACCAGATTGGCTTCGAATGCTGAATTTGACCAACATTGCCATATGAGTGGCAAAGATAAAGTTTTGGAGCAGGTTCATTCTGATGTAACTATGAGCCTTACCTGGACCAAACTTGCATAAATGATGCATATAGAGATGCACAATACCAAACTTGCTTTGGGTGCTGTATCTGAACTACATTTTCTGGATGAATAACCAGATCAGAATTTTATGAAAAGTTTCATTCCCCGATTACTATTAGCCCTCTGATGACCAAATGCACATGAATGATGTATCAAGGGATGCACACTACCTGACTTGTTTTGGATGCTGACTCTTATATTTTCTGTGTAATTAAACAGAAACAAATAATTGGAGCAATTAGACCATTCTCAAGTAACTTCCTTCCCAGACCAAACTTGCATAAATGTTGCATCCTTTGAAGCACAATACCAGAATATTCATTTGGTTTTAGGCTTCATCTTATTAGCTCTTCTAAGCCAAAGGCTCAAAGAGCTAATGCTATGGCAATTTGTGCGGTGTGCATTAACTTTTTAGAATATGGGCCAGAACTCAAGAACCCCTTGGCCAATCAGTCTCAAATTTGTCACAGGGTATCCTTGGCCCAAGGGCTACCATTTATACTAAAATAAGGGTTGGGACCCTTAAACAAGGGGAGATAATCAGGAAAACAAAACCAAAAATACTGGTTGCTAAAAAATCTTCTCCAGAACCACCAGGCAGATTTTCACCAAACTTATATACAAGGATCAGGATATGTTGAAGATTAAAAAATGTTCAAGGCATGACCCTGGGGCAAAGGGCATGATCTCAAGGTCACTTCAAAGTTGACCTAAATTTACAAATAATAAAAACGTTTATATTTTGCTTACTATTAGGACTAGGATCATCAAATCTTGTAAGTTTATGCATCTCAGGACATCACATCATGTTAACTCAAAAGTAGGTCACGGTGATTTACTTTTTAAATTTTGTAAGCTTTTGTTTTCCAATTGATTTGAAGGCATATTTCGGGCACTTTAAGGCCTATGATCATCAAACTTTGTCAGTTGATGCATCTTGGGTCCATGAACAACATCAGCTTAAAAGTAGGTCACCTTGACCTACTTTTTGAACTTTATGACTAATTCTTTTTAAAACATTTAATCCAATTATTTTAGACACTGAGAGGTTTAGAATCATCAAATCTTGTAAATTGATGCATCTTGGGACCTGAAAAACTTATTTATGAAAAAGTAGGTCACTGTAACCTACTTTTTGAATTTTGCAGGCATTTGTTTTTGAATTGTTTAAAAGGCATATTTTGATGCATCTTTGGTTTTTAAAAAGTAGGTCATGGTGACCTTATTTTTGACATTTTATGGCTTTATTTAAGTATCTATGGTACTAACTGGTTTAATTTTGTTTTTTGATGTAGGTCATAGTGACCTACTTTTGAATATCTCAAGGACTTATTTGCTTAGAATCATCAAACTTTGTCAGTTGATGTATCTTGGGTTTTCAAAGAATGTAGACAAAAAAGTAGGTCACAGTGACCTACTTTTAAATATCTCAAATACTAATTGGCTTAGAATCTTCAATCTTTGTTTATTAATGCATCTTGAGTCCTCAGAAAACTTCAGTGTTAATATAGGTCATTGTGATGTATGTATGGTTTTTAATAGCTTTATTATTTAAAATATTTTCAGTCCTAATTGGCTAAGAATCATCAAACTTTGTCAGTTGATGCAACTTGGGTCTTAAGATACTTAGGGTTAGAGGCTTCAAATAGAAGTGATAGATTGTACAATTTATCAGAAGAGCGATTCAAGGCCCTTGGGCCTCTTATTTAAAGATAACATTCCTTGAGGTGAGCTATGTAATCTTTGATCACCAATGTTTTAAGAAATTAAAATAACATATGAACTGGTTTTATCCAATCTTAAAATGTGACTACTAATTAATATCACGTAATAGAATACTGCTTTGGTACATGTACATATGCATTAGATTGGTGGGATAGAAGTTTTGATTAGTATACTTCTATTTATTGATGTAAGAAATCCCTTTCAAATACCAATTTTGTGTAATTACCAATGTGGACAACAAAAATTTTTGGTGCTTTAAAGTCCCCTCCCTCTTGCTGAACTATTTAAAATTAGATTTTCTTTTGATCTCACTTCTAATAAGGTCTCTTTGTGAATATTGTTTGTTTGCCTTCTTCAGTGTCTCCAGAAAATTAACTTACTCATGCTTTGTAGGTCACCTGAGTCACTCAGGTGACCTATTGCTTTCTGTTTTTGTCCATCAGCGTCCGTCGTGCATTAACTTTTAAACATTTTCAACTTCTCAAGAATGGCTAAACCAATTTCAAACAATTTTTGGGTGAAGGGGAACAAAAATTGTGAATTTCATGTCCCTGGGGTCCCAGGGTTGGGGTTAAAACCACGAAAATTGATGCAGTCTTTAAAAATCTTTTTCTTTACTCCTGGACATCAAGCAGTCAAACTGTTGGCATGATTGTAATAAGCATTGGGCCCTCTACCAAAATTGTGAAATTTAAGGCCCCAGGGTCAAGGGTTCTGGTGCTATGGCAGGCTATATAGATTGTATAGTGAAAGTGCATTATTTCTTTGAAAATCTTCTCTTCTCCTGCATATTATTTAAACAAACTAAGTGCATGGTTATGATAAGCATTGATGCTTTTTCCAAAATTGTGAATTTCATGGCCCCTGGGTCAGGGGTTCTGGTGTTAGAGCGGGGCTCTATTGATTATATCGTGAAAATGCATTAATTCTTTGAAAATCTTCTTCTCTGCTCCTAGGTATTATTTAAACAAACTAAGTGCAAGGTAATGATAAGCAATGATGCCTTTTCCAAAATTATGAATTTCATTGCCCCTGGGTGATTGGCAGTGAAATAATTTATATTGAATTGCAGATAAACTGAAGAAAAGACCTTTTGATCTAAAAAAGTATGAGGATGACTTTTTAATTGCTAAAGAATCTCTTCAAAAGAAGGGGGATCACAAAACACTCGAAGATGATTCAGTAATAGTGGACTCTCAATCCTTGCTGTCAGAAACTGTTCCAGTCATACAACAGGTATCAGTGGAATTCTATAGGATGACTTCTTTATGAACTTAGCTCTTTCTTTTGTGTGTGTGTGTGTGTGTGTGTGTGTGTGTGTGTGTGAGAGAGAGAGGGTGTGTGTGTGTGTGTATAACAAAAAGAAGGAGAAAAAAACAAGTTTGTTTTTGAGTTGGCTTGCGTAGCGAGCTACTCCCTGTCGACACAGCTGTTTCAGAGCTGTAAAATTTTTCACACATTCATCAAGGTGATCCATACGCCAAATATGATAGTTCCAGCAAAAATACTTTGGTTTGAGTGATTGTATAAACTTCAGAGGTAAAAACTGTATAAAATTTCATACTGTAACATTATTTATGCCTTCATGCTTTTAAAGAAATTATTTATTTATACAAGCCGAAGATATGTTTGTGACAGCTTCAAATTTAATGCATTTTGCAATTCACAGACCTCCAAAGATGTTGCTGGTCTTGCAGTTTTGCAGTCCTCTGCAGTTGTCACACCAGAAGAAGTAATGGAGATGACTGTTCCAATTGCGCAACAGGTATCAGTGGAATTCTCAAGGATAACTTCTTTATGAACTTAGCTCTTTCTTTTGTGTGTGAGGGTGTGTGTGTATGTGTGTATAACAGATAGAATGAGGAAAAACATGTTTGTTTTAGACAAGCAGAAGATTTGTTTGTGACAGCTTCAAATTTAATGCATTTTGCAATTCACAGACCTCAGAAGATGTCGCTGGTCTTGCAGTCTTGCAGTCTTCTACAGTTGTCACACCTGAGGACGTAATGGAGAAAACTGTTCCAATTGCTCAACAGGTATAAATGGAATTCTCATTGATCACTTCTTTATGAACTTAGCTCTTTCTTTTGTGTGTGTGTTTAACAGATAGAAGGAGGAAAAACATGTTTGTTTTAGACAAGCAGAAGATTTGTTTGTGACAGCTTCAAATTTAATTCATTTTGCAATTAACAGACCTCGGAAGATGTTGCTGGTCTTGAAGACTTGCAGTCCTCTGCAGTTGTCACACCAGAAGAAGTAATGGAGAAGACTGTTCCAATTGCGCAACAGGTATCAGTGGAATTCTCAAGGATAAATTCTTTATGAACTTAGCTCTTTCTTTTGTGTGTGTGTGTGTGTATAACAGATAGAATGTGGAAAAACATGTTTGTTTTAGACAAGCAGAAGATTTGTTTGTGACAGCTTCAAATTTAATGCATTTTGCAATTCACAGACCTCCGAAGATGTCGCTGGTGTTGCAGTCTTGCAGTCCTCTGCAGTTGCCTTACCAGAAGAAGTAATGGAGATGACTGTTCCAATTGCACAACAGGTATCAGTGGAATTTTCAAGGATAATTCTTTATGAACTTGGCTCTTTCTTTCGTGTGTGTGTGTGTGTGTGTGTGTATAATAAAAAGAAGGAGGAAAAACGTTTGTTTTAGACAAGCAGAAGATTTGTTTGTGACATCTTCAAATTTAATGCATTTTGCAATTAACAGACCTCCGAAGATGTTGCTGGTCTTGCAGTCGTGCAGTCCTCTGCAGTTGTCACACCAGAAGAAGTAATGGAGAAGACTGTTCCAATTGCACAACAGGTATCAGTGCAATTCTATAGGATGAGTTCTTTATGAACTTAGCTCTTTCTTTTGTGTGTGTGTGTTTAACAGATCGAAGGAGGAAAAACATGTTTGTTTTAGACAATCAGAAGATTTGTTTGTGACATCTTCAAATTTAATCCATTTTGCAATTCACAGACCTCCGAAGATGTCGCTGGTGTTGCTGTCTTGCAGTCCTCTGCTGTTGCCTCACCAGAAGAAGTAATGGAGGTGACTGTTCCAATTGCACAACAGGTATCAGTGGAATTTTCAAGGATAATTCTTTATGAACTTGGCTCTTTCTTTCGTGTGTGTGTGTGAGGGTGTGTGTGTGTGTGTGTATATAATAAAAAGAAGGAGGAAAAACGTTTGTTTTAGACAAGCAGAAGATTTGTTTGTGACATCTTCAAATTTAATGCATTTTGCAATTCACAGACCTCCGAAGATGTTGCTGGTCTTGCAGTCGTGCAGTCCTCTGCAGTTGTCACACCAGAAGAAGTAATGGAGAAGACTGTTCCAATTGCACAACAGGTATCAGTGCAATTCTATAGGATGAGTTCTTTATGAACTTAGCTCTTTCTTTTGTGTGTGTATGTGTATAACAGATAGAAGGAGAAAAAACATGTTTGTTTTAGACAATCAGAAGATATGTTTATGACAGCTTCAAATTTAATTCATTTTGCAATTCACAGACCTCGGAAGATGTTGCTGGTCTTGCAGTCGTGCAGTCCTCTGCAGTTGTCACACCAGAAGAAGTAATGGAGAAGACTGTTCCACTTGCACACCAGGTATCGGTGGAATTCTCAAGGATAAATTCTTTATGAACTTAGCTCTTTCTTTTGTGTGTGTGTGTGTGTGTGTATAACAGATAGAAGGAGGAAAAACATGTTTGTTTTATACAAGCCGAACATATGTTTGTGACAGCTTCAAATTTAATGCATTTTGTAATTACAGACCTCGGAAGATGTCGCTGGTCTTGCAGACTTGCATTCCTCTGCAGTTGTCACACCAGAGGTGACTGTTCCAATTGCACAACAGGTATCAGTGGAATTCTCAAGGATAATTCTTTATGAACTTAGCTTTTTCTTTTGTGTGTGTGTGTGTGTGTGTATAACAGATAGAAGGAGGTAAAAGTTTGTTTTATACAAGCCGAAGATATGTTTGTGACAGCTTCAAATTTTATGCATTTTGCAATTCACAGACCTCGGAAGATGTTGCTGGTCTTGCAGCCTTGCAGTCCTCTGCAGTTGTCACAGCAGAAGAAGTAATGGAGGTGACTGTTCCAATTGCACAACAGGTATCAGTGGAATTCTCAAGGATAATTCTTTATGAACTTAGCTCTTTCTTTTGTGTGTGTGTGTGTGTATAACAGATAGAAGGAGGAAAAACATGTTTGTTTTATACAAGCCGAACTTATGTTTGTGACAGCTTCAAATTTAATGCATTTTGTAATTTACAGACCTCGGAAGATGTCACTGGTCTTGCAGACTTGCAGTCCTCTGCAGTTGTCACACCAGAGGTGACTGTTCCAGTTGCACAACAGGTATCAGTGGAATTCTCAAGGATAACTTCTTTATGAACTTAGCTTTTTCTTTTGTGTGTGTGTGTATAACAGATAGAATGAGAAAAAACATGTTTGTTTTAGACAAGCAGAAGATTTGTTTGTGACAGCTTCAAATTTAATGCATTTTGCAATTCACAGACCTCCGAAGATGTTGCTGGTCTTGCAATTTTGCAGTCCTCTGCAGTTGTCACATCAGAAGAAGTAATGGAGGTGACTGTTCCACTTGCACAGCAGGTATCAGTGGAATTCTCAAGGATAATTTTTATGAACTTAGCTCTTTCTTTTGTGTGTGTGTGTGTGTATAACAGATAGAAGGAGGAAAAACATGTTTGTTTTATACAAGCCGAAGATTTTTTTGTGACAGCTTCAAATTTCATTCATTTTGCAATTCACAGACCTCGGAAGATGTCGCTGGTCTCGCAGACTTGCGGTCCTCTGCAGTTGTCACACCAGAAGAAGTAATGGAGAAGACTGTTCCAATTGCACAACAGGTATAAATGGAATTCTCAAGGATCACTTCTTTCTGAACTTAGCTCTTTCTTTTGTGTGTGTGTTTAACAGATAGAATGAGGAAAAACATGTTTGTTTTAGACAAGCAGAAGATTTGTTTGTGACATCTTCAAATTTAATGCATTTTGCAATTCACAGACCTCCAAAGATGTCACTAGACTTGCAGTTTTGCAGTCCTCTGCAGTTGTCACACCAGAGGAAGTAATGGAGAAGACTGATCCAATTGCACAACAGGTTTAAATGGAATTCTCAAGGATAATTTTTTCTGAACTTAGCTCTTTCTTTTGTGTGTGTGTTTAACAGATAGAAGGAGGAAGAACATGTTTGTTTTATACAATCAGAAGATTTGTTTGTGACAGCTTCAAATTTAATTCATTTTGCAATTAACAGACCTCCGAAGATGTTGCTGGTCTTGCAGTTTTGCAGTCCTCTGCAGTTGTCACACCAGAAGAAGTAATGGAGAAGACTGTTCCAATTACACAACAGGTATCATTGCAATTCTATAGGATGACTTCTTTATGAACTTAGCTCTTTCTTTTGTGTTTGTATGTGTATAACAGATAGAAGGAGAAAAAACATGTTTGTTTTAGACAATCAGAAGATTTGTTTGTGACAGCTTCAAATTTAATTCATATTGCAATTCACAGACCTCCGAAGATGTCGCTGGTGTTGCAGTTTTGCAGTCCTCTGCAGTTACCTTACCAGAAGAAGTAATGGAGATGACTGTTCCAATTGCACAACAGGTATAAATGGAATTCTCAAGGATCACTTCTTTATGAACTTAGCTCTTTCTTTTGTGTGTGTGTTTAACAGATAGAAGGAGGAAAAACATATTTGTTTTAGACAATCAGAAGATTTGTTTGTGACAGGTTCAAATTTTATGCATTTTGCAATTCACAGACCTCCAAAGATGTTGCTAGTCTTGCAGTTTTGCAGTCCTCTGCAGTTGTCACACCAGAAGAAGTAATGGAGAAAACTGTTCCAATTGCACACCAGGTATCAGTGAAATTCTATAAGATAACTCCTTTCTGAACTTAGCTCTTTCTTTTGTGTGTCTGTGTGTGTGTATGTGTGTTTATCAGATAGAAGGAGGAAAAACATGTTTGTTTTAGACAAGCAGAAAATTTGTTTGTGACCATGGTGACAGCTTCAAATTTATTGCATCCATTTTGCAATTCACAGACCTCGGAAGATGTTGCTGGTCTTGCAGTCTTGCAGTCCTCTGCAGTTGCCTCACCAGAAGAAGTAATGGAGATGACTGTTCCAATTGCACAACAGGTATCAGTGGAATTTATAAGCTAACTTCTACCATAAAAGCAGAAATAATTAAAATTAAATTTCGTTTATTTTGTTAATAATATTTAACTGCAAAATTTAAACCATAACAAAATTTTAACCAATCCAGTGTTATATCTTTCTTCTAAACAACAAAATTAAGTGCCATTGAAATCATCTTAGATCATAAATCAGCAAAATATTATCCCTACAAAAATGTCTGCTTCTATGGTATATGAACTTAGAAGTACCATTTATTGAGGTGTATCGCTATCAAAAATGGCACTTTGTTGTCATCCCACATCCAGTGTTGATTTACTGTGGCAACAAAGGACTCAACAATGTTTATGCTATTTAAAATAGTGCAAATCTATCAATTATTAATGTTCTCTGCTAATTCAATGTGTATCAAATTTAGTATCAAGGAAGATAACAGTATAATCAGTTATGTAAATCTTATAAACATACAATGAAATAAAAATGTTTAAAGTTTGTGGAGCATACAACCTCTTGGAGGCTGGGCAGAGCTTATCTCCATCACTTGTAGTGTAGGTGATAACTGCCCTGAGCAGAGTTAGTTCTGTTTACTAATTACTGGCAGTGGGATGCATGTTGATAAGAAAACAACTGAAATTTGCGTACATTATGAATCTTTATCATCGATAAATTAATTTTGAAACACTTTTTAGGTCACCTGAGTTAACTCAGATGACCTATTGCTATCTGTTTTTGTCCATCAGCGTGCGTCGCGTGTTAAAATTTGAACATTTTCAGCTTCTTCTCTGAAACTGCTCAACCAATTTCAACCAATTTTGGCATATAGCATCTATAAGTGAAGGGAAACAAAGTTTATGAATTTCATGATCCCTACCCCCCTGGGGCCTGAGGGGAGGGGCCAAAGCCACTAAAATTAATGCAGTCTTTTAAAATCTTCTTTACTCCTGAACATCAAGCAGTCAAACTGTTGGCATGATTGTAATAAGCATTGAGCCCTCTACAAAAATTGTGAAATTTATGGCCCCAGGGTCAGGGTTCTGGTGTTAGGGCGGGGCTGTGTTGAATATATAGTGAAAATGCATTATTTCTTAAAAAATCTTCTCCTCTGCTCTTGGGTATTAATCAAACAAACAATATGCATAGTTATGATGAAGAAAGGTGCCTCTTCCAAAATTGTGAATTTCATGGCCCCTGGATCAGGGGTTCTGGTGTTAGGGCAGAGCTCAAATGATTATATAGTGAAAATGCATTAATTCTTTAAAATCTTCTCTGCTCCTGGGCATTAAGCCGATGAACAAAGTACATAGTTATGATGAGGAAAGGTGCCTTTTCCAAAATTGTGAATTTCATGGCCCAGGGTCAGGGGTTCTTGTGTTAGGGCTGGGCACTATTGATTATATAGTGAAATTGCATTAATTCTTTAAAAATCTTCTTTGCTCCTGGGTATTAAGCCGTTGAACTAAGGACATAGTTATGATAAGGAAGACTGCTTTATTCCAAAATTGTGAATTTCATGGCCCCAGGGGGTTCTGATGATAGGGCAGGCCTCTATTGATTATATAGTGAAATTGCATTAATTCTTTTAAAATCTCCTCCGGGTACATGTATTAAGCCATTGAACTAAGTACATAGTTAAGATGAGGAAGAGTGCCTCTTCCAATATTGTAAAATATGTAAGGTATTCATCAAACTTAGTTGATGCATTTTGGGTCCTCAGAGAATGACAAGTGATAAGTAGGTCACCATGACATACCCTCAGGTACTAATTAGGTTAGAATCATCCTGGGTTCTGTGTGTTTTATCTAAAATGTAGGTCAAGATTACCTACCTTTTGAATCTCAAGGCTTTATCTAAATATACAGGATACTGTAAACCAGCTATTATTCGCGTCATCTTTTATTCAGGAATCGTCAGTTTGAAATCAATCCGCAATAATTAATTTTTGCAACTGAGGAATCATTCTCTACAAATACAAAGCAAAATAATTGGTTCGCGGCGATTAATGTTCGCGAGTTAAAGTAGGTTGCAAAACTGGCGAATATTTCTTGCATGCGAATAAAAGTTGTTTTACAGTACTTAAAGGCTTCAAATAGAAGTGATAGGTTGTACAGTTTATCAGAAGAGCAATTCAAGGCTCTTGGGCCTCTTGTATTAGATATAATATTGATTTTGTAAATGAGGACTTAAAGGCTTGTTTATGTGCTAAATATATTAAATGATTTGAAGAATATCATATTGGAGGCAAGGTGATAGAGACATTTTGCAACATTTTTTGCAGTTGATGGGAAAGTTGAATGAGGTAGAAAACAGGGGTGACCTCCCCATAGATCTTGCCCTGAGCAGTCGACAAGAGAGTATTGCCATGACACTTGTCAATCAAAAAGTAGATGTCAATCACCGTGACAATGCAGGAAAACGTCTTATCCACAAAGCAATTAAAAGAGGTCAGTAGAATTTATTATACCCCACGCAACTAGTTGCGTGAGGTATAATGTTTTTGACCCATCCATCAGAGGGTCAGAGTGTCAGTCAGTCAGTCCTTTTTTTTTGTCAGCGCAACTCCTCATAAACCGCTGCACAGAATTTCGTCAAATTTTGCAGGTATTTAGGACACAATGTGTAGATGTGCATATTACCAGGAAATTCCGAATCCTTTATTTTTCTGGGAATTTTTGCACTTTACAACTTAGATCTTCGGGGATATCTTGAATATAGTGATGAACAGTTTGTCAGTGTAACTCCTCATAAACCGCTGCACAGAATTTCATCAAACTTTGCAGATATTTAGGACACAATGTGTAGATGTGCATATTACCGGGAAATTCAGATTGTTTTATTTTTTTCAGGACTTTGATTTTTGTAGAAACGTGGGGTATGTGAGCTTGCTCACTTTTTCTATCATTAGAGCCTGTTGTCAACTTGGACTGGCCACAGTGAAATTTTGTTTTGTGCAGTCTTTCGTTACCATTCATGCAGCAAGACAACGTGCCTACATTACAATAGTTTGCGAGTGGGTGATTTATCTAGAGATTTTACATACATTAAAGCACCATAAAATTAAAAGAGAGTAAATTTAATTCGCAAGTGGTTTTTCTCGCGTAATTACGCAATAATTTATTCCTCGCGTATATTTAGGAGTCTACAGTATATCAGAAAAGGTATCAATTTGTGGTGAGACTGTACCATTTTATCCCTAGTTTCAAATTTGTTCAAATAATGGTCACTGGTAAGGCCTAGATAAATAAATTGTGTGTTTCCAGTTACCCGACCGACCCTAAAATATATGAGCCGACCCTGAAAATTTATTCGCTGATATTTTTCCGGAAGTAAACAGTTCCATTTTTAGCTCTACTGGTCAGAGACCAGAAGAGCTTATGCGATAGTAATGCGTCCGGCGTCCGTCCGTCCGTCTGTCTGTCTGTCTGTCTGTAAACAATTTTTCAAAATGCTACTCCTCCTACAGTTTTGGTCTGATTTCAACATAACTTGGCATATAAGTAGACTACACTAATATACATAATTCTGTGTATCGGTTTTTGATCTCGACAAACGGTGTATGTGTTGTTACTAAAAATAGAAATTTCTGTGAAATTCTTTCAAAATGCTACTCCTCCTACAAATTTAGTCTGATTTCAATATAACTTGGCACATAAGTTGACTACACTAAGATACATAATTCTATTGGTTTTTGATTGTGACATACGGTGTTGGAGTTGTTACTAAAAATAGAAATTTTTGTAAAATTCTTTCAAAATGCTACTCCTCCTACAGTTGTGGTCTGATTTCAATATAACTTGGCATATAAGTAGACTACACTAAGATACATAATTCTGTTTATTGGTTTTTGATTTCGACAAATGGTGTTGGCATTGTTACTAAAAATAGAAATTTCTGTGAAATTCTTTCAAAATGCTACTCCTCCTACTGTTTTGGTATGATTTCAATATAACTTGGCACACAAGTAGACTACACTAAGGTACATAATTCTTTATATCGGTTTTTGACTTCAATGAACATGATTACCTTGGTTAATAAAGAGAGCAATTTCTGTTACTCTCAAAATGCTACTTCAAATGCAGTTTTAGTCTGATTATAATATAATGTGGCATGCAAGTAGACTACACTTAGAACATAAAGAGACTTATTCAAGGATCATTATTCTCTTTTTTGCTAGTGTAAAGTTTCAATTCCCAACTGCTTAAGTACTTTCCTCTTCCTTTGCTATAAGTACAAACCAGTAGAGCTTCATGTCCTTGAATTTTGGTCACTATTAGAAATCCTATCTCCCTACTTTTTTGGAGAAAATGCATATCCTAACACATAAAAAACGAATGCCAAAAACCCTTTTGGGAAAAAAAGGAACTGTTTTTCTCATTTTGTTTATTGTCAAAGTTGAGTTTTAACTAATAAAATGTTAAAGTAAAATAAAATGTTTTGCCTACCTACCCTATTTTAGCTCATATTCAAATTATTTGAATTTTTATTTTGTGTCCGTCGTCCGTCCGTCCGTCCGTCCGTCTGTCCGTCCGTCAATGCAAACTTTTCACATTTTCGACTTCTTCTCAATTACCATGAATTTTGACCAAACTTGGTACAAAGCATCCTTAAAAGGGGAATTTAAATTATTAAAATGAAGGGACATATCCCCTCGCAAGGTGAGATAATCAAGAAAAGACAAAAATAGGGTGTGGTCATTAAAAAATCTTCTTCTCAAGAACCACTGGGCCAGAAAAGCTGAAACTTACGTGGAAGCATCCTGGGGTAGTGTAGATTCTAAATTGTTCAAATCATGACCCCTGGGGATTGGGTGGGGCCACAATGGGGAATCAAAGTTTTACATAGAAATATATAGGAAAATCTTTGAAAATCTTCTTCTCAAGAACCACTGTGCCAGAAAAGCTGAAACTTATGTGGAAGCACACTAAATTGTTCAAATCATAACCCCCGTACAATGGGGAAACAAAGTTTTACATAGAAATATATAGGAAAAATCTTTGAAAATCTTCTTCTCAAGAACCACTGTGCCAGAAAAGCTGAAACTTATGTGGAAGCATCCTGGGATAGTGTAGATTCTAAATTGTTCAAATCATGACCCCCGGGGATTGGGCGGGGCCACAATGGGGAATCAAATTTTTACATAGAAATATATAAAAAATCTTTGAAAATCTTCTTCTCAAGAACCACTCCAGAAAAGCTAAACTTATGTTCCTTAGTGTAGATTTCAATTGTTCATATGACTTGGCACACAATGGGGAATCAAAGTTGTACATAGAAATATATCGGAAACATCTTTGAAAATCTTCTTCTCAAGAACCACTGTGCCTGAAAAGCTGAAACTTATATGGAAGCATCCTGGGGTAGTGTAATTCTAAATTGTTCAAATCATGCCCCTGGGGATTGGGCTCACAATGGGGAATTAAAGTTTTACAGAGAAATATATAGGAAAAATCTTTGAAAATCTTCTTCTCAAGAACCACTGTGCCAGAAAAGCTGAAACTTATATTGAAGCATCCTGGGGTAGTGTATCGGTTTTAAATTATACAAATCATGACCCCGGGGGTTGGGCGGGGCCACAATGGGGAATCAAAGTTTTACATAGAAATATATAGGAAACATCTTTGAAAATCTTCTTCTCAAGAACCACTGGGCCAGAAAAGCTGAAACTTATTTTGAAGCATCCTGGGGTAGTGTAGATTCTAAATTGTTCATATATGACTTGGCACACAATGGGGAATTAAAGTTTTACATAGAAATATAAAGGAATAAGCTTTGAAAATCTTCTTAATAACAACTGGGCCAGAAAAGCTGAAACTTATATATGGATTTTAGTGTAGATTTCAAATTGTCTAAATTATCATCAGTGGGGTAGGGTGGGGTCACAATATGTATTACAAGGGGTAAATCTAGTAAAGTACAGAATGGCCAAAGCTTCTCAGGTGAGCGATGTGGCCCATGGGCCTCTTGTTTTCTTGGGTGGGAATAGGAAACACACTATTTATTTATCTTGGCCTAATAGAGTTTGGCCTCAATAGAGAATCAAAATTTTTTCATTGGAATTTATTGGGAAAAAAGTTCTTAAAAATCCTCTTCCCAGGACTTTCATTAGTCCTATAATTATGCAAGCATCCTGAGGTGGTGCAGATTGAAAATTTCAGACTATGAACAACTAAGCTATGATCAGTCATATTAAGGTCTTCAATCCCTAATAGAAAGAAATTCAATGAAATTGAAAACATAACAGATATGTAGGCATTGAATACTCAGTTTTTTTTTAGAGATACTTCCCATTTATTTCTATAAGTATGTTTAGTGGGATGTGTCCTAATTCATGACCTTGAATTTTGGTAAGAGTTATCTCCCATTTTTTAATTAATAAAAAAAAAATCAAAAAAAATTTCGCTGATAAAAAAAATTGTTTTCAATTATCATTCTATTTTTAATATTTCAATGCATCTTTCCACCACAGGATTTATTGATATTCAAATTATTTGAATTTTTATTTTGAAAAAAATGCTTTTCCCCATAGACTTCAATGCAATCTTTGTTAATTAACTACTGCTTAATTAATGAATTTTTCGAAAATTTGTCAAATGCAATTAAAATGCATTAATATAATATCAGAGTATTGTGTACTTGACGGACATTTAAGGGTAGAGAATTTGGTCCCATTAGGGATTGAAAACCTTAATCTTGGAAGCATCACCAGATATTTTTTTTCCAAGTTTGTTCAAATCATGGTCCTCAGGTGTAGGGTGGGGCCACAATAGGGTATAAAAGATTTGCTGGGAAATGATATAGGAAATTATTTTTAACCCTTTTCAGAGTAGCAGGGTCACACTAAATCGTATATGTATGCAAATATTCCTGACTTGTGGATTCATTTTTATTAGCTCACCTCGACAAAGTCGAGATGAGCTTATGCTATACCCCCGGCGTTGGCGTCAGCGTTAGCGTCGGCATCCCAGGTTAAAGTATTAGGAGCAAGTCCATTCCCAAGTAACTACAAGCCTTACCTGGACCAAACTTGCATGGATGATGCATCTAAAGATGGACACTACCACACTTACTTCAGATGCTGGATCTGACCTAGATTTTCCAGAGGAGTGTACAGGTTTAAGTTTTTGGAGCAGGTCCATTCCCAAGTCACTATAAGCCCTACCTGAACCAAAGTTGCATGGATGATGCATTTAGGGATGGACACAACCACACTTGCTTCAGATGCTGGATCAAATTTTCTGAGTGACCAGGTTAAAGTTTTTGGAGCAGGTCCATTCCTAAGTAACTATAAGCACTAACTGAAACAAAGTTGCATGGATGATGCATCTAGGGATGAACACTTCCACACTTGCTTCGGATGCTGGATCTGACCTTGATTTTCCAGATGAGTGACCAGGTTAAAGTTTTTGGAGCAGGTCCATTCCCAAGTAACTATGAGCCCTACCTGAACCAAAGTTGCATGGATGATGCATTTAGGGATGGACACAACCACACTTGCTTCAGATGCTGGATCTGACCTAGATTTTCCAGATGAGTGACTAGGTTAAAGTTTTTGGAGCAGGTCCATTTCTAAGTAACTAAAAGCACTAACTGAAACAAAGTTGCGTGGATGATGCATCTAGGGATGGATACTACCACACTTGCTTTGATGCTGGATCTGACCTATATTTGGAGCAGGTCCATTCCCAAGTAACTTCAAGCCTTACCTGGACCAAACTTGCATGGATGATGCATCTAGAGATGGACACTATCAAATGAAGAGACTTGATTTTACATCTGACAACTGACTTTTAAATTTTATTAATTGGAGTTTGTTTATGTTTAAATTGTAAAAACCAGTCGTCAATTGTAAAAGTAAGCCTATTCATAAAACTCCAATATGAACACCCTATCATATGTCATTTATTTAGAAATTATCATTGAAGTGATTTTTTTGAAGGATGAAAACCCCTAATCCTGACCGTTAAAAACTTATGTCCAAAGTGAAAGTTTTTTAAAGTAGGTCAACTCCAAGGTCAAGATCAAAGGGTCAGAGTTGTTGATATCCAATGAAAGGTCTTCTCACAAGGATTACGTATGTGAAGTATGAAAGTCCTAACCCTTATCATTCAAAAGTTATGGTCAAGGTTAAAGTTTATTCATAAGTACATAAATCTTTAAGGTCAAGGTCAAAGTTGTTGATATCCAATTAAAGCTCCTGCCACAAAGAATATATATGTGAAATATGAAAGTCCTAGTATCTATCGTTCAAAAGTTGTGACCAAAGTTAAAGTTTTTTAAAAGTAGTTAAAACTCCAATGTCGATGTCAGGGTGAAAGCTGTTGGTATCCAATGAAAGGTCTTCTCACAAGGATTACTATGTGAAGTACGAAAGCCCTAGCTCTCACCGTTCAAAATTTATGGTCAAGGTTAAAGTTTATTCATAAGTACATAAATCTCAAAGGTCAAGGTCAAAAGGTAATGATTGTTGGTATCCAATGAAAGGTCTTGACACAAAGAATACATATGTGAAAAATAAAAGTCCTAGTATCTACTGTTTAAAAGTTATGACCAAGGTTAATGTTTAAAAAGTAGTTAAAACTCCAAGGTCAAGGTCAAAGGGTAAAAGTTGTTGGTATCCAATGGATGGCCTTTTCACAAGAATTACATATGTGAAAGCCTTAGTCCTCACCATTCAAAAGTTATGGTCAAGTTAACGTTTTTTCATAAGTACATGAAACTCCATGGTCAAGGTCAAAAGGTCAAGGTTGTTGGTATCCAATGAAAGGTCTTGCCACAAAAAATACATATGTAAAATATGAAAGTCCTAGTACCTACCATTCAAAAGTTATGGCCAAAGTAAAAGTTTGGAATTTTTGTGTAAAAGTGGGTTAAACTCCAAGGTCAAGGTCAAAATGTCAAATTTGGTGGTACCCAAAGAAAGGTCTTGTCACAAGGAATACACATGTGTAATATGAAAGTCATAGCTGCACTAAATCAAAAGTTATGGGCAAGGTTAAAGTTTTTGTGACGGACATACCGACAGACTTACAGACTGACGGACAGATGGACAGACGAATGAGATTTAATGTCCCCTCGCTTTCGCGAAAGCGGGGGACAAAAATATGATGTGAGATTTACCTTACTTATAGATAGCCTTCGTCGAGGTGAGCTTCGTAATCTTTGATTACCCATGTTTTTCCAATTATGGACCCTATGGTTGGTTAAAATCAGTGATTAATGTTTAAATATAGTATGTATGCTGCAAATTTTTTTGTGAAAAAAGAAAAGCACCACCAGAACAGTAAGGTAATGTTAGTCATATTGATAATGAAGCATGCTCATGTGTGTTATAACCCCTTTGGGCTAGGGAGGTGGGAGGGCACAATACGGAGTGAAATTTTTCATGGAAAATCTAGATAAAGAGAAAAAAATCTTTCAGAAATCTAAAAATGCAGGACCAAGGTGATTCAGTTGAGCATTGTGGCCTGTAGGCTCCATGTTCTTTTTAAGCAATCTATCAAGTTTCTTTTTTTCCTTTAAAGGTGGTCAGGCAGAGAAATTAGGGATTTCGGAGAAAGGTTCTGTTAAAGAAAAGAAGAAAAGCAGAGCATCTTTTTTAAAATCTCAACCAGATACACTTCAGGATCGTACTGTCACAGATTTCATAGATATAAACGATGATCGTCTGAAGGAACTTTTAAACATGATAGAGGCTCACAATGAGGAATCTGATGATGATGATTATGAGAATGACCCAGATTTTGTTTGCAACAGTGACTCGGATGATTCAAGTGCAAGCTCTGATAGTGAAATTGTTCCACTTAAGCACTCTAAAAAAGACATATGCGAGAACAGTACTAATGTATGTGGGCCTGCAGAAAAGTTAGACAGCAACAGAGAAAAAGATAAGATTATTGAACCTAAACAACAAGACAATAATTATCAAGTGGAAGATGACATCAGTGAAAAAGCAGATAAGGATTGTGACATGCCTTCCTCTAGAAGCATTGCAGAAGAGGAATGTGTCTTTGATGATAAGTATAGAAAGATATATACGAAACGCTTCAAAAAGACTAATACCAAATCTAAAAGTGGAAGAAATTATGACCGAGTACATGCTTGTTTGTTTTGCTGTAAACTTGTGACAAATATTCAGACTCACCTGGAAAACAAGCATTGTTATGAACAGAAAGTTAAAGAAATTTCAGACTTAAAAAAGGAATTGTCCAAAGCCCCAGAAAATCAGTCTGAGTTAAAGGAAGAAATTAGGACAAAACAAAGTTTGCTCAGAAATGAAGGAGACAATAAACACAACATGAAAGTGGTAGAGGCTGGGGAGGGAGAGCTTCTTATTTCCCGTAGGAGAGGGAAGTTTAACATGGAAAAGTATGGGCCATGCCCAAATTGTAAAGAGTGGATTGTACTTTCTTCCTGCATAACCAAACATAATAAAGTTTGCCCAGCATTTTTGAAAACTGAGTCCCCAAAGAGTACGAAGGGTATCATCATAATACAGTCAAAAATTATGACTGGCAAAATAGCACAAGAGGCCTCATCCACCCTGAAGAAGGAAGTGTTTCCGATTATGAGGCAAGACAACATCACAAAAACAGCAGTGGCAGATCCATTAATCGTAGCCCTTGGAGATGTTTGGCTCATGAAGTGTGTTGACAATAAACGCAAACGAAAATACTATTGTAGTTTCAGAATGAGGCTCGCTGCTCGCCTTCTTCATCTTCTTAGAAAAGAAAGTCAGTGTGAAGCATCTCTATGGGACTTTTTGACACCAGGTCACTTTGACCTAGTGGCAGCATGTGCCTTGAAAGCCTGCAATGAGGAAAATGGGGATTTAGTGCATCCAACCACCGCAATCAAACTTGGGTTTGATATTTCCAGGTTAGCAGCTATAAAACTGGCATGTTGCATCAAAAAAGGATTGCACAGTGACAACAAATCCACTACCGATTTCATAAAATTAGTAGAAGTGGAGTGGGGAACAAAAGTAAAAAAGCTTGCTAGTACATTAATTAATGAACGGCATTTTAACAAACCTGCAAAACTGCCCTTTGCTGAAGATGTCTGCAGCTTAACAAACCACATATTGCAGGAACTGGAAAAGCTCAATCTTGCACACCTTCAGTTGTCAACATTTAGAAGAGCTGTAGTGCTTGCTCAGTGCCGCCTTTTACTGTATAATAAACGGAGACCTGGTGAACTTGAAGCTTTAAGGTAAAATTCAGTTTTTATATGCCCGTCTTAGGACGGGCCGTATTATGGTGTGGCATTCATGTCCGACTGTCTTTTTCATGTCCGGCTCATAACTTAAATACTATGAGGCCTACAATAATCAAATGATAATTACTGTAAATTATGTATTTGATAGGTCAATCAAATCAAAGAATTATTCAAGAATTTTTAATATATGATACAAGTACTTTTGTAGTTTTTTTAGAGTCAGTTAGGCTTGAAATAATAGATAAATTAAAAGTGAGACAAAAATACCTTAGGCTATCTAAATTTAATTCTCTGGTTCTCAGGCCAATTTTCTCCAAAACAGATGCGGGAGGGCGGCATTTTATTTATCATTTTATTGCCAATAAAGTAGATGAGGGAGGTATTTTTTTTATGCGCCCGAATTTTTTCGGGGCGCATATTGTTTTTGTCCTGTCTGTTTGTCTGTTTATCTGTTTGTCTGTTTGTCTGTCTGTCTGTCTGTTGTCAACTTTAACCTTCGCCAAAAGAGACAGAGACTTCATATTTGGTATGCATACTCATCTAATAAAGTCCTTTCAAATGACATCAAGGTCAATGACCTTGTGACCTTGACTGTGACCTATATGCTAAAAATAGCTTTTTACACTGTTTGTCATAACTTTTTAACCATAGGAGATAGGGACTTCATATTTGGTATGCATACTCCACTAATAAAGTCCTTTCAAACGACAAGGTCAATGATCTTGTTTATGATCCTATATGCTGCTTTTACACTTTTTGTAATAAATTTTGTGACTGGTATGCATACTCCACTAATAAAGTCTTTTCAAATGACATCAAGGTCAATGATCCCTTGACTGTGACCTATATGCTAAAAATAGCTTTTTACACTTTTTGCCATAACTTTTGAACCATAGGAGACAGGGCCTTCATATTCCACCGATTAAGTGCTTTCAAATGACACCATGGTCAATGACCTTGTGACCTTGACTGGGACCAATATGCTAAAAATAGATTTTTTGAACTTTGTTGCCGCCGGGCGCATAGTGTTTCACAAACACATCTTGTTTAATTTTAATTTTCGAATTTTCTTTAACATAAAGATTTTTTTAATCACAGATATACTTTCCATTTCTGGTCAAAATTTCTACTTTATCCATTGCTTAACAGCGTGTAAATATCGTAGGTAATGTCCTCGAATGTATTTTCAAATGAAGTAGCCAAAATCTCATTGCAAATGGCTACCAGAAGTGATATTTGAATACTAAACTACGAAACAAATGAGGTCGGAATTTTTTTTCCAACTTTTTATTTTATCAAAAATACAATAAAATCGGCAATGCGCGCAGGCCTGAGAACCAGGATTTCAATTTTATAATATGGCCTTATATTTGTACCTTGAGGATTATTCAAAGACCAAGAAAAGCTAGTGGTAAAGGGAATGTCATGGGCATATTATGTGTACATTTCTTTCACTGTGTTGTTTAAGTTTGGTGAGATAGTGTCAGATGAGAGTGTATTTAGCAGTGGCACATACAGGCAAGCAAGCAGATCTACTTTCTGAGTTGTTGCTGATTAACCAATTTAGTGATCCCTGATTGTTTGTGAAGAATGTATACAACATATTCATCTATCAGTTTACTTTTTATCCCCCATCCCCACCCACTTGAAAAGTGGGGGTATATAGTGATGGGGTGTATATGTCTGTAACACTTGGGGGTAGCCATCCCTTATCCGCAACCCCTCTTAAACAACTGATTGCAATTTAATGAAACTCACAAAAACTTTGATACATACTGCCATTGTGCACCTACTATTTCACATTTGAATGGGACACATATTTGGGATCTGAGTGGGGGTATCATTTTGTGAGCTCAGTGCTTACAGTACCTCTAGTTTTACATAATTATTGAATTGCCATTCTGTGGATCCTTAAAAGGGTTGTATTATACTCATGTGACCGTTATAACCCTTGGGCCTCTTGTATACATATTGTAGAACTTTTTATTACGTACCTACATTTTAAATTTCCAGGCATTTTGTCAAAACTCAAGGAAGCTATTGAGTTTTGTGCCAGCCAATTTGAGCAGAGCATGCATGCACATGCTTTCTTGCTAATTCATTCATATCATCTTGTCTACACTTCAAGTATATGCTTCTACTGATTTTTAAAGCAGTTCTTAAAAAATATTAATCTCATCACACCTACGCTAATTGGTCCGCACATCTACACAATATGCCTGTTAACCCAAAACAGTTTTCATCTCAGTCTAATAAGTAATTTATGAGAACACAGGCAAAATGTACTAGAGAAGAAATTATAAAGAATAATAATATTAACAGAGTACCCTGCCACTAAGGCAATCTATTTTTCTTTTTGTATTCAGTTTTTAGCTCACCTGAGCCGAAGGCTCAAGTGAGCTTTTCTGATCACATTTTGTCTGGCGTCCGTCTGTCTGTAAACTTTTCACATTTTCGACTTCTTCTCAAGAACCGCTGGGCCAATTTCAACCAAACTTGCCACAAAGCATCCTTGGGTGAAGGGTTTCAAGTTTGTTCAAATGAAGGGCCACGCCCTTATTCAAGGGGAGATAATTGGGAATTAATGAAAATTTGGTGGCATGTTTTAAAAATCTTCTTTTCAAGAACCACTGTGCCAGGAAAGATTAAACTTATGGGGAAACATTCTCATGTAGTGCAGATTCAAGTTTGTTCAGATCATGACCCAGGGGGGTAGGGCGGGGCCAAAACGGCCGACCAAAGTTTTGCATAGAAATATATAGAAAAATTTTTTAAAAATCTTCTTCTCAAGAATAGCAAAGCCATAATTGATCATATTTATATGGAAGCATCCTCAGATAGTGTAGATTCAAGTTTGTTCAAATCATGACCCCGGGGAGTAGGGCGGGGCCAAAACGGCCGACCAAAGTTTTGCATAGAAATATATAGAAAATTTCTTAAAAATTGTTCTTCTCAAGAATAGCAAAGCCATAATTGATCATATTTATATGGAAACATCCTCAGATAGTGTAGATTCAAGTTGGTTCAAATCATGACTGCCGGGGGTAGGGTGGGGCCAAAATGGCCGACCAAAGTTTTACATAGAAATATATAGGAAAATTCTTTAAAAATCTTCTTCTCAAGAATAGCTAAACCATAATTAATCATATTAATATTGAAGCATCCTCAGGTAGTGTAGATTCAAGTTAATTCAAATCATGACCCCCCGGGGGTAGGGCGAGGCCAAAATGGCCAACCAAAGTTTTACATAGAAATGAATAGGAAAATTCTTTAAAAATCTTCTTCTCAAGAATAGCAAAGCCATAATTAATCATATTTATATGGAAGCATCCTCGGGTAGTGTAGATTCAAGTTTGTTCAAATCATGACCCCCAGGGGTAGGGCGGGGCCAAAATGGCCGTCCAAAGTTTTACATAGAAATGTAAAAGAAAATTCTTTAAAAATCTTCTCCTCAAGAACAACAAAGCCATAATTGATCATATTAATATAGAAGCATCCTCAGGTATTGTAGATTCAAAGTTGTTCAAATCATGACCCCCCGGGGTTGGGCGGGGCCAAAATGGCCGACCAAAGTTTTACATAGAAATATATAGGAAAATTCTTTAAAAATCTTCTTCTCAAGAACAGCTAAGCCATAATTAATCATATTTATATGGAAGCATCCTCAGGTAGTGTAGATTCAAGTTTGTTCAAATCATGACCCCCGGGGATAGGGCGGGGCCAAAATGGCCGACAAAAGTTTTACATAGAAATGTATAGGAAAATTCTTTAAAAATCTTCTTCTCAAGAACAAAGCCATAATTGATCATATTTATATGGAAGCATTCTCAGGTAAGCATTTGTTCCCATGACCCCCGGGGGTAGGTACCAAAGTTTTACATAGAAATATATAGGAGAATTTTTTAAAAATCTTCTTCTCAGGAATAGCAAAGCTATAATTGATCATATTTACATGGAAGCATCCTCAGGTATTGTAGATTCAAGTTTGTTCAAATCATGACCCCATGGGGTAGGGCGGGGCCAAAATGGCCGACCAAAGTTTTACATAGAAAAATGTATAGGAAAATTCTTTAAAAATCTTCTCAAGAATAGCAAAGCCATGATTGGTCTTGAGACTACTTTTGGATTTAAGCTTTTCAAGTATAAACCAATTCTCCTTTTTCCTAGCCACAGTGCTCAGGTGAGCGATGTGGCCCATGGGCCTCTTATTCATCTATTCACACTGCAGATTGGACACATATCACACAAGACTGTCCGGTGTCGACAAGTCAGACTTGGCAATGCGTGAAGGACTGACAGACCTTGAACAACATCTCCTTGAATCACAAGAAATTTGTGAAGTCCGAGGAAAAGTAAGTAACTGCTAGTATTAGATTGGTCTAGAATTTGAATTTCCAGGGAAGGGATGGGTCCAAAAGCAGATTTTTTAAGTCACCTTGTCAAACCAGCAAAACCAGTAAATATGGCAAAAAATTTTCTTTGGAAAATTTCATGAATTACTTAGTGCATCGAATTTTGATTTCGATGAACGGTGTTGCCATGGCCACTAAAAATAGAATTTTCTGTGAAATTCCTTTAAAACGCTACTCCTCCTACAATTTTGATCTGATTTCAATATGACTTGGCACACAAGTGGTCTGCATTAAGAAACATAGAATAGTGCATCGGATTTTGATTTTAATGAATGGTGTTTGCATGGTTACTAAAAAAAAAATTTCTGTGAAATTCCTTTAAAAAGCTACTCCTCTTACAGTTTTGGTCTGATTTCAATATAACTTGGCATACAAGTAGACTACACTTCGATACATATTATAGTGCTTCGGTTTTTGATTTCGATGAACGGTGTTGCCATGGTTACTAAAAATAGAATTTTCTGTGATATTCCTTTAAAAAGCTACTCCTTCTACAATTTTGATCTGATTGCAAAATAACTTGGCACACAAGTAGACTACACAAAGATGCTTGAAATAGTGCATCGGTTTTTGATTTCGATGAACGGTGTTGCCATGGTTACTAAAAAAAGAATTTTCTGTGAAATTCCTTTTAAACGCTACTCCTCCTACAATTTTGATCTGATTGCAAAATAACTTGGCACACAAGTAGACTACACAAAGACGCATGAAATAGTGCATCGTTTTTGTTATTTCGATGAACAGTGTTGCCATGGCTACTAAAAATAGAATTTTCTGTGAAATTTCTTTAAAACGCTACTCCTCCTACAATTTTGGTCTGATTTCAATATGACTTGGCACACAAGTGGTCTGCATTAAGAAACATAGAATAGTGCATCGGATTTTGATTTTGATGAATGGTGTTTGCATGGTTACTAAAAAAAAAATTTCTGTGAAATTCCTTTAAAAAGCTACTCCTCTTACAGTTTTGGTCTGATTTCAATGTAACTTGGCACACAAGTAGACTACACTAAGATATATTAAATAGTGCATCGGTTTTTGATTTTGATGAACAGTGTTTCCATTGTTACTAAAAATAGAAATGTCTGTGAAATTCCTTTAAAAAGCTACTCCTTCTACAGTTGTGGTCTGATGGCAATGGCTTCTTTTCTCATCCTTTGTTATAAGTACAAACCAGTAGAGCTACAGTCTCGACAGAGACTTCTGGTTTAAATTTCTGAATAACATATATCAATTTACACTTTCATGTATATTGACCTACTTTCACCAGAGTTATGGCCCTTGAACTTAAAAAAATGACCAAGTCAGTGCTTTCTTTTTTTCCCACAGAAATTAATTAAAAATGATAATGAATGCAATCATTGAAACTGTTTTTAATAATATCAACAAGAGTGTTGAATGAACGTCATTTTCTTGCAGCTAAAGTATGTTGTGGTATTGACAATTGATTCAGGAAAACAAAAGACCAATTGAAAATTGCTGTTTCTTCTCCACATATTCAAATATTTAAAACTTAATTGTTGGCGGGGGCATTCATGTCACACTGACACATCTAGTTTATTATTCTTTATCTGTTGTGTTTATTTAAAAGGCAGGAAGAGGTGTACCAATATTAATACCTGAGGATGTGAAGTCGGCTATGAATTTCATTACAAATGTGGACATCAGGACATCATGTGGAGTGAGATGCGAAAACATATATGTTTTTGCTAACAAAGGTAGGAGTTTGGATCCATATTTAGGTTACATACATGCAAGTCACTCAGGTAACATATTGGGATCATCAGTTTGTCAGCCTTTGTCTATTAAGGATATGCACTATCTGTAGGAGTAGGGGAAGGTAAATTGTAAAATTTATTACCTCCTTCCCTCCTTTCCCGGGTGCCTTAATTCATAGACCCTTATAACCTAAAATTGATGCAAATGTTATGAATATTGGTATCTCTAGCAGAAGATCTGATTATATACTTAAGTTTTAACGTAGGTTGCGGGTTTGGCGTTCAAATTGATTTGAAGGCATATTTTGGACACTTAAAGGCCTATGATCATCAAACTTTGTCAGTTGATGCATCTTGGGTCCTTGAACAACGTCAACTTAAAAGTAGGTCACCTTGACGACTTTTTGAACTTTATGACTAATTCTTTTTAAAACATTTAATCCAATTATTTCAGACACTGAGAGGTTTAGAATCATCAAATCTTGTAAGTTGATGCATCTTGGTACCTTAATACATATTTATGAAAAAGTAGGTCACTGTGACCTACTTTTTGAATTTTGCAGGCATTTGTTTTCGAATTGTTTAAAAGGCATATTTTGATTACGTTCAGACTTAGGATCATCAAACTTGGTCAGCCGATGCATCTTGGGACTTTGAAAAATGTATCTTAGGTATTTATTGGCTTAGAGTCATCAAACTTTGTGAGTTGATGCATCTTGGATTTTCAAAGAGTAACAACCAAAAGAGTTGGTCACTGTGACCTACTTTTTGGTTGTTTTCGGAGAGTAACAACCAAAAAGTAGGTCACAGTGATTTACTTTTGACATTTTATGGCTTTATTTAAGCACAGTACAGGGCGTTTATTATCATAGCTTATTTGTCAGGCCAAAACTTTATAATAACCGACTATGATAGTAAACATAGACAGCTGAAATTCATCTCTGAGGTCAGACATGAACATGTTTTAATAAATAACAGGCCTGCCGTTTTTACATAATATTAACTAAGTGTTATGTTATTTAATTTCATATTTTTAGATTCATTTGAAATACAAGTTAACTATCATATCATTTAACATTTTTACTTAATGTTTTAGCATTTTATATAAATAAATTCACTTTCCTAGAGCTTAATAATCTCCGAACTCAATCTTCTAGATGCCTTGGCATTCATCTTGTTTACTTTCATTAGGGCCCCGCTTGGCGGGCGCCCTATAGTGATCAGTCTGTCCGGCCGGCCGTCCGAGATCTCTTGTCCGGGGCATATCTTCTCACTCCTTGGTCCAATTTGGCTCATACTTCACCCACAGAGGGCCTTTAGGTAACCGGTGTGCAATGACCTTGAAGCAGGTTTCTAGGTCAAAGGTCAAGGTCATAACTGAATTATATGAAAAAATCCTTGTCCGGAGCATATCTTCTCTCTCTTTGGCCCAATCTGGCTCATACTTAACCCACAGAGTGTCTTTGGGTAACTGGTGTGCAGTGACCTTGAACCAGGTTTCTAGGTCAAAGGTCAAGGTCATAGCAGAATTATATGAAAAATCCTTGTCGGGAGCATATCTTCTCTCTCTTTGGCCCAATCTGGCTCATATGTCACCCACAGAGTGCCTTTGGGTAACCGGTGTGCAGTGAGCTTGAACCAGGTTTTTAGGTTAAAGGTCAAGGTCATAGCAGAATTATATGAAAAATCCTTTTCTGAAGCATATCTTCTCTCTCCTTGGCCCGTCTGGCTCATACTTCACCCACAGAGTGCCTTTTGGTAACCGGTGTGCAGTGACCTTGAACCAGGTTTCTAGGTCAAAGGTCAAGGTCATAGCAGAATTATATGAAAAATCCTTGTCGGGAGCATATCTTCTCTCTCCTTGGCCCAATCTGGCTCATATGTCACCCACAGAGTGCCTTTCGGTAACTGGTGTGCAGTGAGCTTGAACCAGGTTTTTAGGTTAAAGGTCAAGGTCATAACTGAATTATATGAAAAATCCTTGTCTGGAGCATATCTTCTCTCTCCTTGGCCCAAACTGCCTCATACTTCACCCAGAGAGTGTCTTTAGGTAACCGGCATGCAGTGACCTTGAACCAGGTTTCTAGGTCAAAGGTCAAGGTCATAGAAGAATTATATGAAAAATCCTAGTCCGGGGTATATTTTCTCTCTCCTTGGCCCAATCTGGCTATTACTTCACTCATAGAGATCCACTGGTCAATGGATGTGCAGTGACCTTGGTCCAAGTTTCTAGGTCATGGTCAGAATTACCCTTTCTGTTTAAAATCTTTGTTTGGTGCATAATTCTTTGCCTTTAATTCCAGTATAAAATTTATATAAGGCCAGATAAAATTAATCTTTAGATTCTCATCCCCGCCTGCCCCTCTCAAAGTGTCCCGCCCCAGTGTTTTTTATTTTGATTTTTGGGTGTTAAAAGTATATTTTAATGTCTTTTTATTCAGTAAGATTTTGGATCAAAGTTTTAGAGTTATCTCCTGTTTATATCAAAAGTCGCGTGTCGCTATTTATAGCAAAAGAGCCATGTGAAGAATGGAGAAAAATCGGCAATAAAAGCAGTTTAGATATGAAAGGGAAAGATAATGCGTCAGTATAGAAGAGGCAGAGAAGAAAAAATAGCATAAACACATCTTGATAAGCAAGTTTTAAAGAGACTTTAAACTACTAGGTAAAAATTGATGAGGGAAATGCACCTGCATGTCAAGTTTTAACGATCTCTACTTTATGTGAGTTTGTATAAAAGAAATATATATATAACATCGTTGGCAGAATTTAGAGAATAACAGTGTTTAGAAAATATTAAATACAGTTGTATCAAAACTGTTCAAGCCTAGGCTTTTCAGTAAAATATTTTATAGAGTTTGCAAATATTACCTACTAAAATGTCAAACATAGAATCCCAAGGATAATCGAATTTTTGAGAAAGGTAGAAATCTGTGATATTTTACAAATTTTTTTAACAGAAGGATTTGTTGGCGAAACCAAAAAGTATTTGGGAGAAAGGCCTATGAGAAGTCATACAAATCTATTCATATAGGCATTAACATAAGGAAAAATTGTTTCTAATTTTTTTGATATTTTCAAAAATAAAAAATAGAAAATAAAATCTGCCCACCCGCCCCAATTTTTTAGAAAATTAGGATGAGAATCTAAAGATTAATTTTATCTGGCTTAAATCGGGATACAAGATAACTTTGATAAATATTAGTAAATTTGCAGCATCCGTGAAGTACTAAATTACTTTTACTGTATAACACAAATGTTCCTCTTCAAAATAAACACTTTTAAACTACCTTACATTTTCATGTTCATTGTTGAACGCGGGGCCCTTTGAGATGGCCACCATCTCAATGATATCTAGTTTTGATGTACTTTCGTTTTTTGTCTATATGATCAATTCAATCTATCAATAATTCGTTGGGTTTTTTTTACGTTGCATATTAAATAAAACACAAAAAGAGAAAATGCATATTAACAGTATATAAAAACGAAACGAAAGGACATTTAGATATAAAGATGAAAATTCAGCATGACGCAACTTGCTAACCAGTTACATATTTACGGTATCAAAATGTTACAACATAACAGTGCATGCATTAAAATTGTTTCTTTAATTCTTTTTCCTTTTTTTTTCAACCTGTAAGTGAACATATTCAAGTTAAGTGTAAGGGAAAAATCATCTCAAACACAAGCCCAATTATTTTCTCTTTGCACCCAAGCGCTAATTTACACTTAATGGTGCCGTATAATTGGAAGTAATCGATACACTGATGAGCATGTAAATCAAAGCCGCTTGGACAGGCTGGTTAAAAATTTAATTTCACATCATTTCTTAATTAATTCTTACAGGACAGTCTATAAATGTGATTAATTATGAACATTGAACAGGCAACAAGCGTAAGAAAGCTTGGGTTAATTGACACTAAATTAAGATTCAACACATTTTGGTAAAACACTTTTATTATTAAATGAATGTACAATTCAACGTAAACAAATTAAAGAAAATAAGATTGTGAATGGTTTCCTGTTGCTGTGCAATGTACTTTGTGAAATAAACAAAACTTCAAGTCATCGCTCAGGTAAGAGCGCTGGAGTGTGACTAATCCCCTCAGTCAAGCCATTGTGTATAGATAAGCAACAGTGGCATGGGCCACAGGTGTCGACAGCTGTTATCTTTTGTTTTGTTGATTGTCACAAGAGTTAAAAAGGTGTGAAAAAAAATATTACGGACGCAAATTTTCTATTATAGTAACCGAAGTACACACTTTTACCTATGATAATGACGTAAGAAATTAACATTGAATTATAAAGAAATGGTTTTGCGTTTTAAATATCTATGATAAAAAATGGAGTATGATATAAAACTGGTGTGATAATAAACGGCTTGTACTGTATCTACCGTACTTATTGGCTTAGAATCATCAAGCTTTGTAAGTTGATGTATCATGGGTTTTTCGGAGAATGATGTCCAAAAAGTAGGTCACTGCGACCTACTTTTGACATTTTATGGCTTTATTTAAGTATCTTAGGTATTTATTGGCTTAGAATCATCAAACTTTGTGAGTTAATGCATCTTAAGTTTTCAGAGAGTGATGACCAAAAAGTAAGTCACTGTGACCAACTTTTGACATTTTATGGCTTTATTTAAATATCTACTGCACTTATTGGCTTAAAATCATCAAACTTTATCAGTTGATGCATCTTGGGTTTTTTGAGAATGATGTCCAGAAAGTAGGTCACGGTGACCTAATTTTTAATATTTAATGGCTTTATTTAAGTATCTATGGTACAAACTGGTTTAGAATCATCAAACTTTGTTCGTTGATGCATCTTGGGTTTTTAGAGAATGTCGACAAAAAAGTAGGTCATGGTGACCTACTTTTGAATATCTCGGGTACTTATTGACTTATAATCATCAAACTTTGTCTGTTGATGTATTTTGGGTTTTTGAAAATCGTCTACAAATAATTAGGTCGTAGTGACCTACTTTTGACATTATATGGCTATATTTAAGTATCTTGAGTACTTATTGGCTTAGAATAATCAAACATTGTCAGTAGATGCATTTGGGGTTTTCCAAGGATATAGACAAAAAAGTAGGTCATGATGACTTACTTTTGACATTTTATGGGTATATTTAAGTATATCAGATACATATCGGCTTAGAATCATTAAACTTTTTCAGTTGATGTATCTTGAGTTTTCAAGGATCGCAAACCAAAAATTACATCACCTTGACCTACTTTTGACATTTTATGGCTATATTTTTATATCTCAAGTTCTGGTTGACCTAGAATTGTTAAACTTTTTCACTTGGGGCATCTTTGGTTTTCGGAGAATGTCGACCAAAAAGTAGGTCATGGTGACCTACTTTTGAATATCTAAGGTACTTATTGGCTTAGAATCATCAAACTTTGTCAGTTGATTTATCTTGGGTTTTCAAAGAATGTAGACAAAATAGTGGGTCACAGTGACCTACTTTTAAATATCTCAAATACTTATTGGCGTAGAATCTTCAATCTTTGTCTATTAATGCATCTTGAGTCCTCCGAAAACTTCAATCTTAAAGTATGTCACTGTGACATACTTAAAATTTTTTTTATAGCTTTATTATTAAAAATATCTTCAGTCCTAATTGGCTAAGAATTATCAAACTTTGTCAGTTGATGCAACTTGGGTCTTAGGATACTTAGGGTTAGAGGCTTCAAATAGAAGTGATAGATTGTACAATTTATCAGAAGAGCAATTCAAGGCCCTTGGGCCTCTTGTTTGTATATTTTAACTTTGAATCTCTGAATATCTGGAAGTTTTTTCTTGACCCCATCCAGATAACAAGATCTGAATGTGCATTTTAAAACTACTTGGAATAAAAATGAAATTATTGTATTTAAAGTGTGAATTTATGAAAAGCATGTTTGCTGTTACCATGTTGTACTGTATTGCATTTTGACTAGATACAATATGCAAATATGATTGTAAACCTTACATAAAAAGTCTAATGTCATATTCTTTTCTGTTGTAGCACTAGGTGTTTTACGAGCTGGAGACTGTCTGGAGGAAGTGAAAAGTGAGGTAGACTTGCAATACCCTGAACGAATACTTGCTACAAACATGCGTAAATATACAGCAACTCTTGCCCAGGTACAAGTTTCGTCAACCTTTTGTAGATGCATATGATTTTGTACATCAGATCTTTTAAGTGTGTTTTAAATCTGTGCTAACATGTATTATTACAATTTTCATGCAGCTGATTAAGGTTGATGTAAGAACACAAGCAGTAATTACATAAAGTTTATGTCTGGAACCTCTACAAATGAAATAACATTATACTTGACTTTATATACTGGTATAGATATTACATCAGTGTTGTTCAACAGGTTATTGGGTTGAAAGATGAGGAATTAAGGTGGCTGTGCAATCATCTAGGGCATACAGAAAAGGTACATGAGGCTTACTATAGATGCACATCTAGTTCCATTGAACGGATTGAGATTGCAAAATTAATGATCATACAGGAGAGAAATTTGGTGGGGAAGTGTTCTGGAAAGAAGTTGTCAGAAATCCAGTTTGAAGGTAATTGTTTTCCTCAAAGAAAAACACATAATAAAGTCATGTTTTAGTTCACTTTATTAAGGTCCTTGCGGTTACTTGGAAGACCTATTGCTATTTGTTTTGTTTGTTGTCCATCAGTCATATACTTTGGAATGTTTAACAAATTTCAGCCAGTTTTGGTGTATAGGAACCTTGTCATGTGCTAGTAAAGGAGAATGTATATTGTGAATTTCAAGGACCTTGTCTCCATGGGGCCTGCAAAGGGGGGGGGGACCATCAAATTTAAGATCAGACAAAACCTCTTGTTCAGTAATATTTAACTTCCCAAGAATTTATGATTGGAGTATTGTTTCCTAATTTTGAAGGAAAAAAATGGGTCAACTTTGGAATTTATTGCAGCATATCTTGGGAAGTATGCGGAATTTCAGAATGAACTTTGGCAGTAATGTAGACTGTTTATATGTTAATGTATCTGAAAAGAAAGTATACATGTAATATTAAATCGTTTCGATTATTAGTATTTCACTTATGTAATTTGGTATCCCATCTGAGATGTTCCATGCCTTTACTTTTTGTCAGCCAGATGAAAGCGATCTAAAGGCCTGTGTCATGGAAGAGTGTTCAGGCCTCAGATATCTGACATATTTTAATATTGTCTTCTTTACTAGATGATATCCAGTAGACAAACCGTTCACATCATTGTAATGAACACCAAGCCCTCAACCAAAATTTAGAAATTCTTGGCCTCAAAGCCTATGGTTCAGATCCCTTGGTCATATATTGAAAACACATTACAACTTTTGAAGTGTTTACTGTTGGATATGTTTGCAAAATAGTTATGAGCAGCTACCCTCTACCAAAATTATAAATTTTGCCCAATTGAGGAGGGGGGGGGGTTAGAATTATGCTTCCCCATTGCCTAGAGCAAGTGGAACTTTGTCTCAGGAAAGTAAGTTTTTGTGCCAGCTAACCTGTTTTTGAAAGTACAGTTGAACTTTGTTATCTAGAAGACCAGGGATCTGCATTGACAGTCCCTACTGCTCATTTTAGCTCACCTGAGCCGAAGGCTCAAGTGAGCTTTTCTGATCGAAATTTGTCAGTTGTCTGTCGTCGTTGTTGTCGTTGGCGTTGTTGTTGCTGTTGTTGTAAACTTTTCACATTTTCATCTTCTTCTCCAGAACCACTGGGCCAATTTCAACCAAACTTGCCATAAAGTATCCTTAGGTGAAGGGGATTCAGGTTTCTTCAAATGAAGGGCCACGCCCTTTTCCAAGGGGAGATAACTATAAATTAGAGAAAAATAAATGGCATTTTAAAAAAATCTTCTTCTCAAGAACCACTGGGCCAGGAAAGATGAAACACATGTGGAATCATCCTCAGGTAGTGTAGATTCAAGTTTATTCAAATCATGACCCCAGGGGGTAGGATGGGGCCAAAATGGCCGATCAAAGTTTTACATAGGAATATATTGGAAAAATTTTTTAAAATCTTCTTCTCAAGAACCACTGGGCCAGGAAAGATGAATCTCATGTGGAATCATTCCCAGGTAGTGTAGATTCAAGTTTGTTCAAATCATGACCCCTGGGGGTAGGGTTGGGCCAAATGGCCAATAAAAGTTTTACATAGGATTATATAAGAAAACCTTTTAAAATCTTCTTTTCAAGTAATTCAAAGCTATGCTTAGTTACATTTATAGGGAATCATCCTCGGGTAGTGTAGATTCTAGTTTGCTCAAATCATGACCCTCTGGGGGTGTTTAAATTCAAGCCCCCCCCCCCCCCCCCAGTAAACTTTCAGTTCTGATCTGATATGTGCTTTTTCCTAGCCAATTGCTCAGGTGAGCGATGTGGCCCCTGGGCCTCTTGTTTTATTTCCAACTTAAGTCTTGTACCCCGGTTATATCAAACAGTCAAACTGTTTGCATGATTGTAATCAGCAATGGGTCCTCTACCAAAATTCTGAAATTCATGGCCCTGGGGTCAGGGGTTCTAGTGCTAGGGCGGGGCTAAATAAGTTGGTAGTGAAAATGCATTAATTCTTTGAAAATCTTCTTCTCTGCTCCTGGGTATTAAATAAACTAATTAAGTATGTGGTTATGATGAGCAAGAGTGCCTCTACCAAAATTGTGAATTTTATGGCCCCAGGGTTAGGGGTTCTTGTTTTAGGGTGGGGCTCCAATGATTATATAGTGAAATGCATGAGTTCTTTGAACATCTTATCCTTTGCTCCTGGTTAATGTGCTAATGATCTAATTACAGTGATTTTTCTACATATTGTCATAAGTAAGCCAATTTATCAATATATTTACTACAAAACAGTAAATTAAACACAGTTTCTATATTTTTAACCTTTTTTAAAATCTTTTAAAGTTGTTATTGTGACCAACCTATATCAGTATACATGTATTTCCTTTTTTTTTTGCTCTGACAATATTGGTAGACATGATAGAAAATCCTTCTTGTAATAGCCATGGTCTAAGATAGAATAATCTGATTTATTACATCATGTATTTTTCAATTAATTAGTAAAGCTTTCTAATTACCCTAGCTAAAATAATGCTGCAATTTTTCTCTGCAAATTAGGTTTTGATTTTCGTGGTATCAGGTATGCTTCTTGTAGAACTATTAGTACTTGGATTTACAAATAAAGCTATGTTTCCCCAAATTTATAAACACACAAGTTTCACAAGGAGACCCATGTGTTTTTCTAGGTCTTGTAAACGCTTAAGTAATCTGATGTTCCTAACTGTTATTTTAAGAGTCTAAGTGACTTTGATAAGTCGTCAGAAATTGGGAAAAAATCGGTTATTTTTGAGAGGGGAAAGGGCCGATATTCGGACCCAAATTGGATGTAGAAAAATCACTGAATTACATATTTAAGGCCAGGATTTATTTTATTTTCATTTTTACAAACCCTCCGCTCAAGGTTTTGAATTTTCAGAAAAAAAAATTAAAAAATTTCTTCTGATGTCAAATTTGAGTCGGGATCGAGATTTCAAATTTATGAACTCGCACTTCCGGTTTTACGATGAAACGGTGGGTAAATAAAGCTAGATCTAAGAAGATAGCTTGGTTTAGTGTAAAATTCATCGATAAGAGTGCCATTCAAAATGTTTCGCCAGTTCAAAGGACAAATAAAATGCTGATTACTTTGTTGCGCAATGACATGCTGGTGAGATAATTTTGTATTTGTTTCAAAAGTATCTGTCTGTAAATTATTTTCCTCCCCCAGGTTTTAAACTGCCCCTGGTAGCTATTGCATATTGCCAGCGACATGTTTAGGTCTCTGTTGTAGCTTACAGTATCATTCTTCAGAAAAGGGTAGCTTATGCATCAGATGTAATGAATAAAACTATGGGAGAAGTTAAGTCCATTTGAGGAAGAAATAAACAATAACCTGAAGAAATAAAAAAAAAAATTAATTATTAAAAGGCAAGAATATACAAATATATACAGGCATATAGTATCATTTGTATCAGCCAGAAAAATTATTTCACACTTAATTGAAAAAATGTTCACTCTACTCCCCAATACTCCCTGTCTGTTTTATGATAGGAATTATAATTTTAGGCATCAAGTAAATTTTAGAACAATGTCTACACATATTAAAAAAATGAAGATTTATTGAAAGACTTTTAAAGAATTGATTTTTTAAAATATATTTTGATTAACATCACAAAATTTATTTAACTGGCCCTAACTGGCGGATGATGAAATAAGCAATTAAATATTCTACTTTCCTATTTGTAAGCATTATGTGTCCAGTGGTAAGGAGCCCATTAGGATAGCATAAAAAAAGAATGTACAAATGTTAACAATTGATTTATAAATTTTTTTTTTATTTCCTTCTCCTTCGGGACTTTTTCATTCTCATGTTCATAACTAAACCTAAACATAAAAAAATGCTGGCCCTTAAGGCCAAAGTTTTTTTTTCTCTTGGTTTATGATTCCGCCGACCCTATTTTTCCCTATTTACGAAAATAAAAATGTGTCTGGCTCGAAATTTTCTTGACCAAACCAAAATTTACAACACATCTTAATCATTAACCCAAACTCTCACAAACATTCAATGAACTCTACAAACAGATTGTCAAACCACATTGCCAATGACCAATGCATCGAATACTCCGTCGGAACTCCTCTAGATTTTACACTTCCGGGTATGAAAAAGTCCATCGTTACAAGTTATACAAAACAAGACACAAAACCAAAACAGCTGGACAGCTATCGATGTGATGCCAAATTTTAGATCTTTATTATTGTCAAATAATTAATTCATGCTGTGAATACAGACATATTTTTACTGATAAATTGTGAAGTTATTAGCTTTCTAAGAAGTTACACATCAGAAGACAGATTCGATAAACATAAGTAGCTGTTCAATCGGCATGCAGGTGTGCATCAAAACTTTTATTAGAAACAGAATTTTATATTGAAAACAAGTTTGAAGAGAAATTAACAAAATTATGACTATGCCTGGATTGCCAAAAGCCTGGAAATCTAATGAGAAGAGAATTTTTAGAAGTTTAAGATTGTACTACTATATAAGAAATGAAAAAAAATGTTTGATAAACAATTAATCTGACAATAAGAAACTTTTACAGTTTAATAGTAGTAGTAAATTCTATTTAATGTCAATGCTGTTTTATTATTTTTCCTAGTTATTTATATACCTTGTAATTGGGGGAAATATCTTTTAAGATTCTTTTAATCTTTTTTAATCATTTTAAATACAATGTTTATACGGAAAATTTTTTGAAATGTAATGTAAGTTTTAAACAATGAAATAGTTTTATAACGATTAAAGTGTGCCACATATACGCACCAAGAAGTCTCCTTAAATTTCAAAACTTCTCCTTCAATTTCTTTGAGGGAGAAGTGAAGTCTCCTTAATCGGGTGGGTCTAGGTTGGTCCCTGGACACACATATCTTAAGGTAAAGGTTTGTTGTGAAAGCAATCACTTTCGGAGTTTCCAAAAAATTTTCCTAAGTGGAAAGGCTGACCAGAGAATAGCCAATTTGCTTAAATTTACCCGTATTTGTCCCAGTGCAATATATGTGTCTATTATGGAGACTCAGATTTGTAAGTCGGAAGAATGAAAACCATCAACAGTAACAGAGCCTGATACTCCCATTTCTGTTCTTGAGTCATTTGACGTGCGATTCATTTTTCTTGACTTAAAACTGAATGATAAGAAAAAATAATTTTAAAAGTTGAAAAATCTTGTGTGTTTGTTATTTTTATTGAAATACATTTCAATGCTACTCGAGAAAAAAATATGTCAAGGTTCCAAGTAATTTTTATTTTTTGACCACCCAATGCATATTTTTGTGTCAAAAAATCGTAAACGAAAAAAAATTAAAAACTTTGGCCTAATGAAGAAAGGGGCCTCTTTCAAAATAGATAATTTCAGGGCCGCTGGGTCAGGGGTACCAGGGGGGTACTTTGACTAAAAATAAATTAATGCTTTGAAATCTGCCCTTTGATAAGCAATGGTGCCACTTTCAAAATTTGTGAATTTCATGGCTTTTGGATTAAAACACAAACCAAATACAATCGCTGGAAAGTTGTTACATGATACTCAGGTGACCTATAAGGCCCGTGGGCCTCTTGTTTTAGTAGAACTGATTCACAACTTTTCATGGTAATAACATATAGTACACAGTCTTGCAATATACTTAGAAGTAGAGAAATGTCTTAACAAAATAGTTAAACAAAGAAAAAGTAATGTGCCTGGGAAAACAAGAGAGATATTTCAATGTACCAGGTCCCCCACTTTGATTAAAATGACAAATCGTCTTAATATCTGTAATTACTATTTTGTGCAAATAAATTGATACATTACTCTTTTTTTGGATCCTATTCTTTTTGCTTGTGAACGTGACCAATATTGTTGTCAAAAATACTGGAAAAATGAAATTTGTTTATGTTTTCTGACCTTTTTTCTCCAGATGCCCGTGTGACCATCAAAGCCCATAGACCTTTTCATTATCTGTTATTTTTAACTAAATTGCATGTAATTGACAGACCTACTTCCAAATGAAGACACTGAAAGAACAGATGAAGAAAAAGAAAATTCTGAATCTGGAGATGGTAAGTTCAACCTCAGAGTCTAAACTTCCATATTTTAGCAGAAAGCGAAGTGGAGATAACCCCTGTGGCACCTACCAGTGCATTTTAAACTCACCTAAGCAGAAGGCTCAAGTGAGCATTTCTGATGAAAGGGTGTCAGGTGTCCGTCTGCCTTGTCTCATCCGTAAATTTTTCACATTTTTGACTTTTTCTCAAGAACTACAAGGCTAGTGTCAACCAAACTTGCCACAAAGTATCCATGGGTAAAGGTGATTCAAGTTTATTTGAATAAAGTGCCACACCCTCAGGGAAATAATTAAAAATTAGTGAAAATTTAATGGCATCTTTTAAAAATCTTCTTCTCAAGAAAAGATGAAACATTACATAGCATTGATTCAAGTTTGTTCAAATCGTGAACCCAGGGGTTAGAGCAGGAGCTAGCTGCAGGTTTTAGCTCGCTGGTCTGAAACAATTGAAATGGAGGACCAGAGAGCTACAGTACCGCCTTTAGAAAGAAGTGTAAATTTTATTGGCATACAGAAGTGCACACATTTCTCGATTTATTTCTCCATATATTTAAACTTGATTTGCCAACAAAGTTTAAAAATACACAAGCTCGATCCACATAATATTGACACTTGTACAATGAAAAAGTGTTTAATTTTGTTTATTAGCCCAATAGGCAAATGCAGCATCATCTCTCCCAACCTCTGAAATGAGTAGCCCCAGGTGTCAAGCAATGGTAATTGCGCACCCTTGTTTTAAGAAAATAGTGGAAAATGCACAAGTTCATGACATCACAATTATTTAGGAAGTCATATAAGGAAACGATTGTATGATCTTACTCTATGACTTTTGAAAAATTCAGAAAGCATGAGTTTTAATTTCTCACAAGGATTCCATATTTTAGAAATTTGTATGGAAACTATACCTTTTACTTTACAATGATCTATGTCATAAGTGACAGTCATTAAGAATGACAGAATACACAATAAACATGATAAACTAACAATGTGATATTTATGAAATTAGTCCTAAAGGCTAAGAAAAGTGTCCAGAAAAAGGGGGTTGGATTTAGTTTCTTTGTAATATATGCATCACTTTCTTTTGAACAATATTCTGACCAAAACAGTGCATACAATACATATGGCTTTATGGTAGCTGGAAAGTAATGATGCATTTTTTATGCGCCCGGATCAATAGATCCCGGGCGAATATTGTTTTTGTCCTGTCTGTTTGTCTGTTTATCTGTTTGTCTTTCTGTCTGTTGTCAACTTTAACCTTCGCCATAACTTTTGAACAATAAGAGATAGGGACTTCATATTTGGTATGCATACTCCACTAATAAAGTCCTTTCAAACGACGACAAGGTCAATGATCATGTGACCTTGACTGTGACCTATATGCTAAAAATAGCTTTTTACACTTTTTATTATGCGCCCGAATTTTTTCGGGGCGCATATTGTTTTTGTCCTGTCTGTTTATCTGTTTGTCTGTCTGTCTGTTGTCAACTTTAACCTTCGCCAAAACTTTTAAACCGTAAGAGATAGAGACTTCATATTTGGCATGCATACTTCACTAGTAAAGTCCTTTCAAATGACATCAAGGTCACTGACCTTGTGACCTTGACTGTGATCTATATCCTAAAAATAGCTTTTTCCACTGTTTGTCATAACTTTTTATATGCCCGTCTTAAGACGGGACGTATTATGTTATAGGCTTCGTGTCCGTCCGTCTGTCTGTTAGCTTTTTCGTTTCCGGCTCATAACTTTAATACTGCTAGGCCTAGGATTATCAAACTTTGTCATCTGATGCATCTTGGGTAGAAGGTGTGTCGTGCGCAAAAAGTAGGTCGCTTTGACCTTTAATTAAGAAGTTATAGCCAAATAAGGAAAAATCCTTTCCGGCCCATAACTAGAAAACCATATGACCTACAATCATCAAACTTGGCCAGTTTATGCATCTTAGGTAGAAGGTGTGTCGCGACCTATTTTAAGGTCACTGTGACCTTTAATTTAAGTGAATTTTTAAAAAAAAAAAGGTGTCTTTTTACAATTCATTTACACATCCCAAATAATGTAAGAGTATTGCACTGTTCTTATTAAAAAAAGTGTTAAATTAAGAAAATACTTATTTTTTTAAAGCATATACTTGACAGCAATCTATAACAAATATAATGTATGTCAGAGAAATCCTACCTCTCCCATGAGTGTAATTATCAAGCACTGGTCAAGAAGAATTTTGATAACCGAAAATTGCATGTCAAATTAGAGAGAAATTAATGGGTTTTGAGTGTGAGGAGCCATTGGTGTTATCTAGATCCCTTGAGTATTGGGCAAATGGGTAAGCCTGTTTGATTAAAAATAGCTCTTGTTGACTAGCTTAAGTTTTAAAATAAATTTGATGAAAAGTAATTAAAACTAATTTGATATTGCATAATAGACTTATCTGATATTATGTAATATTACTAATTTAAAAACTAACTTTATTTTATGGGGTGAAATCAGCATGTCCATATGAATTACATATTAAAAACCTGTCGGACATTAAATTTCAACCAAAAAAAAATCCTTGAGTATCTTATATGTTTTAAAAAAAAAATTATAGTAGATAGTGCAGACCCATTCATCTCTTGGTAGTAATGAGTAGACAAGCATCCAGTTAAAGATTAATTAATGAGTTCAATGTAGGAAGGCTAGCTGTCTCAGTCGCTCTGATTAAGCAGCACTTTGGGGATTAGACAGAAGAACTGCTGGTCAGTTTATAACATGTCATTTGATGGCCAGCCTTTTCTTTTCAAAATTAATTTGGTATAGATTAAGTTTGTTAAGACTAATTTGATGATGGGCATTTGACAAAGTCTAACACAACCAGTACAGAAATCCATCAGTGATGTAATATTTTTAAACAATAAAATGCTTTCTTTGTTTGTTGTTACTGGAATGAACGGAAGCCGCTGTTGCACAAAAAATACATAACCCGCGTACGCGGGTTATGTAAATTTTTTCTGCAATAGCTGCGACCGTTCATTCCAGTAACAACAAACAAAGAAAGACATTTTATTGTTTATATTTATATCTGTTTAAATTATCATTTTAAGTAGGATTAAAAATATTAATTATTGTGTT